ATTAACTGCTTTCTCAACGTACTGGGAATCTCAATAGGGATGTTGGACAACTGGGACTGGACCTGTACTTTTATTGGTTTAGGAAACTACATGGATGAGAAAACTCTCTCTACTAATTCAGGTCAAGCCCTACCCTACAATTTTATTATCTTGAAGAAGTGACTGAATGAAACACTGAAAAGTCATATGACTTGTCTAGGGTCACAAAGCCTGTAGACATCAGATGGGGAACTTGGAACCAGGTCTTCTAGACTCTCAGGCCAACTTTCTATGTGCTATATCATACCACATCTTGTTAATTTAATTAACTTAGTCACTGTGATTTTAATCTAGATAAAATCAGCTTTACAAGTACATGATGGGGGCAATATAGTTTGGTAATAACTCATATGAAAAAGATCTGGGGACCTTTGGCAGGAGATTCTTAGCTCAATATGAGTCAACAGTGTGATATGAGAACCTACGATGCTGATACTTGGCTGCATTACAGGAGGCAAAGCGTATAGGATTTGATCTTCTCTTAAGACTAGTCACATCACACCTGGAGTACTTGTCCAAGTTCTTTTTTCTTTCTTTTTCTTTAGGCAATCAGGGTTAAGTGACTTGCCCAGAGTCACACAGCTAGTGAGTGTTATGTGTCTGAGGCAAGATTTGAATTCAGGTCTTCCTACTTTCAGATGCTGTATCTACTGCACCACCTACCTGCCCCTCTTCCAAGTTCTTTGTACCATGATTTAGGATGGAATATATTGCATTCTGTCCTTTACTAGATGCCAACTTGGAAAAAAGCCATTTGGCTGGAACAGTCCCACCAAATATAACATTGTCGAGAAATGGCTTATCCTAGAAAGATGTAAATGCACACCACACACACACACACACACACACACACACACACACACACAGAGCACAGCACACAGTTTGAGCAGGTGCTCATTAAAGCCAAGTTATCGAGAACAGGATAACTTCCATGGTGAATTGAATGGACTCCTTAAATTTACTTGACTGCTACTTACTAGAACACAGAACAGACAAGCAACAGTTGTTACTTCATTTGAGAAAATGACTAGTATAGTACTCTAAGAATAGTGAATAAAAACAACATAGCAATAGGAATGTGGAAGTGTGCCCAGAGACGCTTACCCAGATCTAAATATAATAGGTTGATTGTAGTGATTTAGAGAGCCAGAGCATGTAAGAGAATAATGAGGCGTAACATAGTCTCCAGGAAGGAGGTGACAATCCCATTCTGCTATGCTTTAGTTACATGACATCTGGCAGATTGGGTTTAGTTGTGGGAGCCACCTTTCAGGAAGGACATTTGCCAACTAGAGGATATCCAGAGAAAGGTTATTAGAATGGTAAAGGGGACTTGAGACTAAACAATAGAAGTGCTGGTTCAAGGAGCATTTAGGGACTGTTAGCCTGGAGAAGATTGGGGGGGGGGGGCATGATAACTTTTTCAACTATCTGAAGGATTATTGAGTGGATGAAAGTCTAGATTTATTCTGCTTGGCCTCTGAGGGCAAAACTAGAGGCAGTTAACAGAAATAGCAGGGAGGCAAGTTTAGGTTTCATGTAAAAAAATCTTTTAAAATAGATCTGTACAAAAACAACCTGGGGTGAGTGGATTGGACCACTATAGCTTATCTCTAAGGTCCCTTCTAGTTTTAACTTTATGACACAGTGATACTACTACTGCCTTAGAAGAAAATGGATTCCTCTTCATATAAAGCATTCAAGTGGCTGGACTGCTACTTGTTGGGGTTATTGTAGGAGGGATTCCTTTACAGTCATTAATTGCATTTAATTGCTCCTGATGTCTCTTCCAACATTAGTAGCAAATAATTCAAGAAACCTTTGAGTAACTGAATTTTTATATGGATATCATTTCTTAAGAAGAATGAGTCACTTTCATTTCTAAGCTTCCAAGTGTCAAAGGTGGGAAAAAGTAGATGTAAAACTCTCTGAATTCATTTGACTATACACGTTAATGAAACAATGGCTATCCATTTTATTTTTTTTTAATTTAAGGTTAGGCTTGCCATTGTTATTATAGGAAAATGGAGCCACAAGAGACTTGGGATTAATTTCTGTACTACTGTCAATGAAAAGTTGGCATCTTCTAATAAATCTAGATGTTAACGGGCATGATTCACCTCTCTAGCTATGAAATATACAGAATATGTGCCCCATATGGCTTGTAGGCTAATAAATCAGATTGAATCAGCATGTTGCCTCTGTGATAAAGACTACATTTATAACTTAGGCTTAGGCTTATTTGCCAAACTAAAACAGATTTATTGTTTTTACCCTTCATGAGTTGATTGGGTATATAGAGAGCCTCAAACTTTTGGGATCACCTTGAGAAGAACATTTTGCAGTCTATGAAGTTTTAAAAATCGACATTCTGGATGAGTATATCTTTGGCATCTTTTAAATGGATTCTGTCCAATTTATTTTGAATTCATTGAATAGAAATAGTTACATGGTACAACTGAAAGTATTTTTTTTTTTGGTACAACAGATAAAATTTTAGGGCTAGAAAAATGGAACCTAAACCATGGTCAATCATTTCCTTTATTAGCTGTTGACTTAGAAATAAACTATCTAGCTTCTTGCTAGCTGTATTTGCCTTAGTGTGACCAGTATTCGTAATCACAACTTTACCGCTGGAGAAATTAACAATAAGTTTAATCTTTCTTCCATATAATAGTCTTTCCATTCCTTGGAGAGAGCTCTTCACTTTCTCTCCCCACTCCCCACTCCAAGTTTTTTTTTTCTTTTCCAGTTTAACCATCCCCAGTTAAAAAAAAAAATTCTCGTATGGAATAATTTCAACACTCCTCACTATCCTGGTTGCTCGTTTCTAGACATTCTCTAGCTTGTAAATGTTCTTCCTCCATACCAGTGCCACTGCTAATGGGTTGAAGCCTACTTTAGGTCACGATGCATAAGTCTATTGAATTATTTATGATGTCCCCTTGGTAGATTCAACATGTTTATAGAAAGGTATAAGATAAAATGAGATCAAATATGTTAAAGCAAAGGAAAAAAAAACAGACTAAGTGCTTCTAAAAAAATATCAGGAAGGACAGTCATTTCCAGCTCTGGAGTCAGAGTTACTTAATCTCCCTGGGCCTCAGTTTCCTGATTTGTAAAATTAGAAGGTTGTACTAGATGTCCTTTGAAGTCTCTTCCAGTTCTAGATCCAGGATCCCATGTGTGATCTTTGGCTCAACATATAGGGGACTCTGTTTTCTAATCTGTAAATAGGGAGATGGGACTAGATGGTCTTTGAGGTACTTTCTAGCCCAAGATCTAGGGTCCTGTGGATCAAGGATGGCTTCCTAGAAAAAGGGGCATGTGAGCTGGGCTTGGAAGGAAAAGAATGATTTCTGTAGCCTTAGATCTGGAAGGAACACATGACAGGAATGAAGGGCAACCTATGACTGGTTAGAGACAAGGGAGTATAGGACAAGATCTAAAACTTGCTTTATAACTTTCTTGTGTACTTAAGTGTTTGTATCATAGCCATTGGGGGAAAAGAATGGGATAGATTGTGCTTGGGGAAAGGTGCTGAATGTTCAATGAGCCCAAACTAATCCCTGTTGCAAAGGATGATCTTCATAAGAAGGTTTTTCCTCTGGGGTTAAATGGCTATAAATCATAGGCCAACATATTCTGAGAAAAGTAAAAATTATGCATAGGCAAAAGGGCTTCTGCATGGTGGGTCCAAGTCATATAAACAGCATTTATTTATTTCTTTTTCTTTTTCTTTTTTTGCTTAGGCAATGGGGTTAGGTGACTTGCCCAGGGTCACACAGCTAATAAGTGTTATGTGTCTGAGGTCGGATTTGAACTCATGTCCTCCTGAATCCAGGGCCGGTGCTCTATCCACTGCGCCACCTAGCTGCCCCCATAATTTTTTTTTTTTTTAGGCAGCTGGGGTTAAGTGACTTGCCCAGGGTTACATAGCCAGTAAGTTGTCAAGAGTTTGGTCTGAGGCCAGATTTGAACTCAGGTCCTCCTGACTTCAGGGCCAGTGCTCTATCTACTGCACCACCTAGCTGCCCCCATAAACAGCATTTATTAAGTACTTACTATAGGCACTGTGCTGGGGAAACAAAGAAATGCAGACAAATAACCAAGTCAAAACCAAAACAGACAAATCCACTTCCTGACCTCAAAGTACTCTAATAGAAGGGAAGACAGCATCATGTTACCAATGGTTTGAAAGCCAGAAATGGGAGAAAAGGAGTAGAAAAGAAGGTGGACTGGCTATGGAATTAGAATGAAACAACAGATGTCATCTCTTTCTCTCTCTCTCTCTCTCTCTCTTCTCTCTCTCTCTCTCTCTCTCTATATATATATATATATATATATATATATATACATATATATATGTATATATATATATAAAATACATATACACATATGTCTTATGCACACGTATGCATGTGTACATATATATATATATATGTGTGTGTGTGTGTGTGTGTGTGTATATAAATGAGGTTGTAAAATCTCACTTAACCATTACAACTCTGTGAAGAAGGTTCTATTATTATTCACATTTAACAGATGAGGACATTGAGTCCAAGAGAGGTGTCTTGCCCAAGGTCACTGCTATCTGAGACAGGATTTGAAATCAGGTCTTCCTGACTTCAAATCTAGCATGCCATCCACTGCAACATAATAGTTCTAAAGAATGCTTTTCCTATCCTGCCTACTAGTGCTCATTGTAAGTGAGTATTCACCTGGTGGTATTCCCAAGCCATACCTTCTGCCTAGGCTGTATTTTGATATTCATCATTCCATGAAGATTTTTTTTTTCTAGATGCTCTACTAAATGGTTCCCCTGATACCTCATCCATTTTCTCCAGAGAAGGGAGAGGAAGTATTTTTTATCGATGAAATCACAGGTTTTTTTTTAAATATTGAAATACGAATTTTAAGGAAGGAATTTCAATAGTGTAAACCTTTTATTGTTGGTGCTATTGCTTACGTTAGAGTGAATAGTGGCAGGGAAATCAGGAAACATTTCATAACAAGCGTAACAATGAAACAGGTCCTCCTATTTGTTTTTTCATGGTGCAAGGGGGAAGGTAAAAGCACTGATGACATACCTCATTCTTTCCGGAGAGGATCAGATTTTTTGTATTTTCCCAGGATTGATGAACTCTAAATATAGTCAAACACAGTTAAGTTCTGGTTTTGTAGGAAGTTATCACTACTGACTCCACAGGAGGATTCTTCATAAAGATGTTTGGTGAGGTCCAAAACCCAGGGCAGAGAGCCAGATCACTGGGTGTCCTCTCCTTGGCTCTTCTGATGGCTCTACCGTGCCCATAGTCTAAGGTGGAAAACACAAAATTACCTCTAGCATGGCAGAGGGTAGAGACATATGCCTAATACTCAGGGCAGCATCGAAACAATCCTAAGGGAGCCTAAATTTAGAGGCAGAAAGGACTTCATAGGTCCTTTTCCCCAACCCTCTCATTTTATAAATGAGGACAATGAGGCTGAGAGATGGTAAGTGACATAAAGTCAGAAAGACTTGAGCATGAGTCTGTGCTGACATTTACTGGCAATGTGACTATGGGAAAGTCACAACCTCCCTGAGCCTCAGTTTCCTCATCTGTAAAATGGCAATAATAAGCCTGATTGCACCTCCCTCGTGGGTTTCTTATGAGGCTCAAATGAGGCAATGATGGCAAGCTGCTTTGTAAACTTCAAAGATAAGGACTGATGTGATTTCATTGGTCTTGGGAACTCACAGGGGAGGAGAAACTCCCTTTATTAATGCAGGTTGACATCTTCTCTACAACTTATAGTCCTATAAAGTTACCTAGAATGGAAACATTCAACAGGCCAGTGGCATGCATCTTGCCCACAGTGCCCCCTGGTGCAGCCATAGCCAGATTAAAATGTAACTGGGAAATATTTAACAAAATAAATAGATACAATAAAGCAGAGATTACATTTTAAACCTAAGTCAATATGTGTCCTGCAGGCATCCTTATTTTTTTGTACTTAATAGTATTTTTTCCCAATTACATGTAAAGATAGTTTTCAACATTCATTTTTGTAAGATTTTGAGTTCAAAAAATTTTCCCTCTTTCCCTTCTTTCCCCCTCCCATCTCCCCAAAACAGCAAGCAATTTGTTATAGGTTATATATGTACAATTATGTTAAACATGTTTCCATGTTAGTCATGTTGTGAAAGAAGAATCAGAACAAAAGGGAAAAAACAAAGGAAAGAAAAAACAAAAAAAGTGAAAGCAGTATGCTTCAATTTGCATTCAGACTCCTTAATTCTTTCTCTGGATATGGATAGCATTTTCCATCATGAGTCTTTTGGAATTGTCTTAGATCCTCGCATTGCTGAGAAGAGCTAAGTCTGTCAAAGCTGGTCATTGAACAATGTTGCCGTTGCTGTGTACAATGTTCTCCTGGTTCTGCTCACTTCACTCGGCATCAGTTCATATGAGTTGTAGGCATCGTATGCATGAATTAGTGGCTTCATTTCTACTTGAGTTTGACCTCACTAGGTGACCTAGAGCCACCTAGAGATTAAGTGACTTGCCCAGGATCACACAGTTAGTGTGGCAGAAGTAGGGATTGAACATAGGTCTTCCTGGCTTTAAGGTTGCCTCTCTACCTACTATACCACGCTGCCTCTTGCTATGCTATTGTCACTACACAAGTGTAATCTATTATTATTATTATTATTATTGTTATTATTGCATAACTTGTCCAATATTATACAATAACAAGTAATAGGGCTAGGTTCTCCAAGTCAAAATCTCCAACCCTTCCATGTTACTCTCTCATACCCATGAGTTCATTGATGGGGCTGCCCTCTCTGCTGACACAAATGGCCTTAGTTGACATCTTCAGGAACTGTTGTGATCAAGAGATCACAGCACCCTAGAGGGAGTACTTGAAAAGACACCAGAGGCCATCTTATTATACTGCCTCATTTTACAGGTAAAGAGCTGAGACCCAGAGGGCTATTGAACCCAGGTCTTCTGATTCTAAATTCATTGCTCTTTACACTGTACCAAGTTTTTCAACAGGTTCACTACCACATTGGTCCAAAAAGATACAACACGTCATGGCCAGCCCTCTGTAAATGAACGTCTTCGACCTTAGCTTATGAGCTACTTGGAAGCGCAGTTATATCTGTCTTTGGGTTCTTGTCTCCTAGCACCTTGTCTCCATGCCTTGTACATGGTGGGTGCTTAATAAATGCTTGTTGAATCTGTGAGCTAAGGCTGGTCCTTGAATAATAAACATATGATTGGTTGCTGGCTCCATATTTATCCAGTCAGTCTGACTCAAAAAACGAGCATTTATTAAGTGTTTACTATGTGCTAAGTATTGTAAAGATATAAAGAAAGACAAAGCCCCTGCCCTCTGAGAAGTTCATATTCTAAGGGAGGGGGGTAAGGAGAGTAATACAACATGCAAATAGCTACACACATACATGGAGCACATGGAAGGCAATCTCAAAGTGGAAGGCACTAGCAGTTGGAGATACTTGGAAAGTCTTCCAGTTGGCAAGACCTGCCAGCATCACTTCCATGTCCTTATGAAACATTTAAATAAGATGCCAGGGCAGGAATACTAAGTCAAACTGCTGCTACCATCAGTAATACTTTTACCACCACCATCAGTTAAGAGTAGCCAACCTTTCTGTACATCAGCCTAGGGTGTTGTAGGCAGCCATAAATGTAATAATGATTATTACAATAGCTACAGGTGTAGAAAGCTGGGGATAGGAGGACACTGGGAAGTCCATCCAATGTAATCACTGGGGTAGGGTTTCCATCCACTTAGCAGATGAGCAGATTCCTACATGGTGACTCATTTGGTCATAGCTAAGGCACATATTTGCCCTCAGCTTAGTCTCCCATCTGGATTGGTGCCAGGTCTGCAGAATGACAGCAATAGGACAGAATGAGGAATCGGGCTTGCCTAAGGCCACACAGGTAGTAAATAGAATAGGCAGGTTTTGAACCCAGGTCCTCTGACTCTTAATCAGGCACTCTTTCCATTATAGCCAACTGCCTCTCAAGACATTCCAAACAACCAGAAGAGTTTACGCAACACAACATCACAACATTTGATTGTTGGATATCATGAAGCCTAAATAGTTTGATTCCTGGCTCATTTCCTCCCCTATCTAACAAGCATCTGTCCTTTTTTCCCTTTGCATCTGGCTGTTGTTACATCTTGTAGAAATGGAGAATAGACATGCAGAGTACCAAGTGTCAAAGGTTCCACTGGGTCTCTGTTCAGATTTCTTGGCCTTCAAAGGTCACTTACCTTCTTTGAAAGCCACTCTCACTACATCCGCTCTAGTTTGGACAAAAGCAACATTATGGCTTTGTTCAGTTATTGTTATACAAACTAGTTGGCATTTATATGCATATATGTATATGCACGGACATTATACATGCATGCTATATGTTTATGTACACATAAGATCATACATATTTGTGCAGACATACACAGCACACATGAATACAAACATGTGTATGCACATATACAAATAAACACATGCACGAATATATGACAATATGCAAATACACATGTACGCATGTGAGAGGCAGCATGGAATAGAGAATAGAGCGGTGGCCTTGGAGTTAGGAAGATCTGGGTTCAAATTCTTCCTCTGAAATATACAAGCTCTTTGATGCTGGCAGTCATTTAAGCCCCCAGTGATCCAGGTTAGTCTCTAGACTGTAAGTTACCAGGAAGGTGCTGACCTGCATCCAGGTAGAAAGAGTTTCTTCATCCAGGAATTTCTGATACCAAAGTGTGTGTGGGGTGTGTGTGTGTGTGTGTGTGTGTGTGTGTGTGTGTGTGTGTGCGCGTGCGTATGTGTGTGCATGTGTGTGTATGTGTGTGTACATGTGTGCATATGTGTGTTCCTCAGAGATCTTGGATTACATATGCTCAGACAAGAAGTGAATTATGTACGCTGAGGCTCAGATTTTGAAAACGTAAAGCAAACTCACCAGTGAAGCCCAAACTGTGTATATCTTCCATTGTACAAAGCTGAATGTGCAATTAAATTGGGAACAATAGGTATTCATAAATGAGCAGGATTGCCCATGAGAAAACAGTCCTCTAATTAAATAAAGGGAGAATCAGTGTTTCTTGTTCCAGGAATTGTTAGTGAGATCGACGAATAAATCAAGGACTGAGTAAATGGAATGTTAGGGTCAGTGCAAGGAAAGGTTCTCTCAGAGGACTCTTTGTTTCACTTGATTTCCCCCTTCCTTGCTGACTGGCAGCAATATGGCTGCTCCCCGAAGGGGAAGCTAATAGAGTTAGAGGACCTGGAGGTGGAGGAGACCTTTGAGGCCATCTAGTCCGGCTCATTGATTTTTTAGGTGAGAAACTGTCTCAGGGTCACATAGGTAGGTAGATAGTAAGTGGCAGAGTCAGGATTCACACCCAGATCTTCTGACGTCACATCCAGTGCTTTTTGCACCATGGTTCAGAGGGCATTGGCCAATACAGCAGGATGATGCCTTCCTGGGGAAAGAAGCTTTTCATTTAAAGACACAGAAAGCAGCCAGTGAATCAGAGCATCCAATAAAGGAGATCCATAAAGCATGAAAGAGAATTGGAACACAGGTCACAAGATATAGGGAAAAGAATGCTAGACTTGGCATCAGATGACCTCAGTTCAAATCCAGCTCTGCTCTACCTACTTAAGTAATCTCAGACAATTCACTTTGCTTACCTGAGATTCAGTTTCTTGAACTGTAAAATGGGGGGTTTGAACTACATTAGGAATTCTTAACTTAGGCCCAGTGCATAGATTTTAATGGATTGCTGAATTTGGTTGGGGAAAAAGAGTGTTATTTTAACAAACCTTTGGTTACCTTTGTAACAGTCATTTAAAACATTACTCTGAGAAGTGTTGTCTAGGCTTCACTAGACTGCCAAAAAAAAGGCCTATGACACAGACAAAAACAATTAAGAATCCCAGGATGAGATGATCTCTAAAATGCCTGTCAGTTCTAAATCTACAAGTCTGTGAAAGCCAGGCCCAGAGAACATTGTGGTAGCTGGAAAAAAGGGCCTGGGTCAGGGTGTTCAATACTGGGGATCCAGAAAGTGAGACTAGGAACCAGAACCCAGAAATTAAGCTACAGGAGAAACACTCAAAATGGGAGTCCAGCAAAGCAGGCATGTGGCCTAGCTGGTAATCCATCATTTTGTATTTCCAGTCTACTGCTTTGTGTAATCCCCTCTTCTACAATCCCCAGACCCCAAATCTGTCACAACACCCTGGACATTTAGCTAATCTGTTGTCAGTGTAGTCAAAAAGTT